TTCATTGTTGGACACAAAAATCCTAGACATGCTCAAGAAGTCTTTCCTCAAAAGAAGATAAGATGTATGAAGATATATTATGAATAAGTTTATGGATATTGGACGTATAGTTCTGACCAGCAGACCCATGAACAAGTCTTTCTAACTGATTCTGATCTATTCTCAAAGTACAATTACATTCTATCATAGTCTTCTTTTGAAGAACAAGATTGATTGAGTAGAAATCAGCCATAGTCACTTCTTTTCCAACCAATCTATATACGGTTTTAGTTCTTGGTCGAAGCAAATAGTCGTCTTGCAAAATACTTCATACTCATGTTGTAAACATTGGCCTTGGAGAGATACAGCTTGCATGACAGAGAAAAAAGTTTGTTGCAATGCATAAATATAGATGAAAGATAGTGGTAGATTGTAAATTCATCAAGTGTAGAGATTCTCAAAGCCTAATTAATAGGAACTAAGAAGGATTGACCTTGAGAAGCTTGAAGATTTTTCCATAGTTGTTATTTGCACATCTGATTTAGTTAAACAGATTAGACGATATTTTCCTTTTCTCAGCGTATATTAAAATGATTCATACAACAGTATATCTTGTGTTCAAGAGCCAAATGAGAAAAATACGTGAATAGCTACCTTTCTGTAATAAGTGATCAGCTCTAGTGGACTTTGAAACGATGCCCATGGCTTATTCAGAGATGTTTTTCCTATGGTTTTCATGGTTGTAGATAGTTTTAGGAATTCTCAACGAACATCTCGATTTCAACGAATGTCATTGGTTGGACTATTTTGCTGTTTATTTTCCATGGAAAGAATTTGATTTAAAGTGTATTGTCGAAACTCTTCGTATTTGTATCTGCTGGTGTCAAAGAATGCTTAAACTTTAATTCAATGAGACTGTTATTTTCGATCCGTCGTCAATACTGATGTTGAGCAACGAATCAGTGCCTGTATGAAATCAGTTAGCTAATCGAGTGATCCCAATTACATTCTGCCGGACTTTATTGAATTGGTCGAAAATAGACAGCATGATCTAAGTGAAAAAACAATACTATTTAACAAAATAGAGTAGATCTATGATGAGTACTCGAAAAAGAAGAACATTGATTAAAAAATAGAAAGATCAAGACCAGAGAAAAGTTAAGCAGCGTGAACATATGTACTCCACACAGTCGTCTCACTTGACTTCTTTGTACGAGCGACTTTCAAGGCGGATGATCAAGCAGATAGATGAGTTGATGGTTAACAATCATGACGCTGAGATGAAGCGATTGTTATTGTTTGAGACAAAAAGAATTTAGTGCTTTTTGAGACAGTAAGATTCTTATCACTTTGAGAAATTTGAATACAAAAAATTGGACTGCAAAGGAATAAGAGTCAGACATCGATCATACGCATTAAAGATGTCTGTCAATGAGTTAAATAACGAAAGCAAATATTTCCTTCTCATTTTTGACACTTGAATAAGATCAAAGACTGCCATAAGTTACTCGAAGAACGACATAATTACTTTCCTTTGTAATCCAAAATTCTCTCATAAAAAAATGTATGAAATTGAGGATTTTCAGACGATTGAAAGAATCTACTTGGTTCGGACTGGCTTTCTACGATTTAGAGTATCTTAGACTTTTCGAACGACCTTGACAATATTTTTCCAGTATTTCTCATATAGATTGGTATAAATAAGCTTTTTTTTCTTGTTTTGCAAAACCAGACCAGACGGCAATTCAGAGCATATCTCCAGACGAATCTAAGATACTTTCTAAGTTGAGGGGACAAAGCTACGCATGGTAGATATTTATAACGATTTGTAAGAAAATATGAGGCAGTTTTTGGTAGAACTTCAGAAGAGACAATCAATGTTCAGAATTCGAATACAATATCCTATTTTCTTGGATTAAGTCGGCCATTTTCGAAAGAACACTGAATCGACTCAATTGGAACGCAACCATATCAGTCATCAGTCTCGCGAAAGTTATAGACTGCTACAGACGCACCAACATCGTGCTCTCGATATACAATATTCTCGTTCAGCGATGGAATATATTTAGCACTACTAAGTCTGACATCGATTTACTGTGATTATATATATAGGACAGAGAACATTAACAACCAAGATTGAAGTAAAATCAAGTTCTTTCTCTGATTTAAATAATCTTCCTCATTCGTCACTCGGTACGATAGATATCAGTCACGCCTTCTTCTAACTGTTCTTCGTATACTTCACCTTTGTGTTCACGTATTGGCATACGTGAGCAGTTACGCACCTAAACTTTACTAACTCAGTCATGAGAATGAGTACTGTTGAAGTTAATGGTGCTGAAAATCCACATCCAGATGAATTGATCCAGAGTAGCTCAAAAGAACAAATCTCTCGCTCATACAACAGAGCAAGATCTGTTTAATATCCTAATAAATATGAATCAGCAAGTCATGCAGCTAAACGTAATTGGAAGGAAACACCTGCTTTTAATATTGATATTGATCAACATCCATCTAAGTTAAGTAATAATAGACAAGAAACTGCAAAAGTTTCAACAGCAGTAACAACAACATCTTCCTATTTTAATATTAGTCATCAATTTAAAAAAGTTCCAATGATTCATCAAATCGATTACATCGTGAATCACCACGACAAACAGTTCCACCATTTCGTATTATATTACAAGATGTTAATCAATATCCAGCAACAGAATCAGGTGTAATTAAAGAAATAAATAAACGTTGCAAATCAAAACTAACCTATGGACGATATACAAAATCATCAAAAAATCAAATGTGCTTTTTATTTTATACCAGCACTGTAACACAATGCAAACACCTGATGTGTGAAACAGACTAGCCTTCTATGATCAACGATACCAAATACAAACTGGACTTATCAGACAAAATACCATCGTCATGCTGTATCGTTGTTCTAAATGTTCCTAGTCAGTGGAATGCACAAGCTTTTGGTATGAATTAAAACAGCATTATCCATCAATTGTGCATGTTTTACGTCTATTTATTAATGATGGACATCTATTATCAAAAGTTCGTGTGAACTTTTCATCGTACAAGGAATTAGCCATGATTTTGAAATCAAAACCTATATTAATAGATGACGATAACACTGCATTTGATGTTGAACCATATTCACCATCAACTCGAATACTAGGATATTATAATTGTCAAGTTTAGGTCGATCATAATGCAGTTCAATGTTCAAACAAAGATAATCCAATTTGTTTAAGATGCGCTCAGCATCATCTTTATAATCCTAATTGTAATAATTTTATTAAATGTGCTCACTTCCAAGGTGATCATATATCAGGTAATCTAAGTTGTCCGCTAAACTCGGAAAAACGCCAAGAAAAAAATCAACGATTGAAAATATTACGTGGAACATTCACTTTAATAGCTCAACAACAACACAAATAAACCTGGTCTGACAATACAAAAGAGGACTTGTTCGGCATTAAAACAGCAACAAATAACACTACATCAACAATCGTACAAAATAAGAACAACAATCACCCAATGGATATTTCCGATATGTTATATATTAAACAACAACAAGATGACCTGAATGAAAAAATCGATACTATTGCAATGAAATTAAATACTCATAGCAATGATATTGGTCGGATTAAATATTGTATTTATGAAATTATGTCTACTTGTCAAAGCGATTTCAAATCAAATTCACCTAAAAGCGAGATGTTGAGATAAACGAACTATATCTTCTTTGTATAATAAATTACTAAATTTTATTTCGAAAAATATTGTTTCAAACAACTATATCCATGGTAGAGCTGGTGGCAAAACAACTGCGCACGAGCGTACAACATCCAACAGCGATCTCTATCAAACAACGACATATGAATCCTAATGCTAATATATTTATTCCTACAAAAAAAAAAGATTCTCATATGATTCCAATGACTAATCTATCTAAAAAGCAAATCAAAGTTTTACAAGATCTTATTTTGGAATAGACCACGAAATCAACAGTAAATAACGTACTAAAGAAATGGGAAATTCGACGACAACAAATAATGGAGATGCTCGACGTTAAAAGTGAATTATCTTTTTTATTATTGAATATCAGTAGTCTTTAGCTCTATCATTATGATTTGTTTGAATCCCTTAATTCACTCCATGTATCTGTTATTATATTAAATGGTATACGACATGACAAGGGCACGTTAAAGTATTTTTTAATGTACTTAACAAATTTCCAAGTTCTTTTTTAACAAAGGAACAAATGCATTTGGTGGTCTCTTAATTACTATACATCGCTCTATTTCAGTGCAATGACTCACCAGTTTTCAAAATGATTGTAATCTTATTGTTCTAGATATAGGACATTCTTCAAATCAAGTACAATTAGCAACCTGTTATTCTCCACCAAATAAGAATCTACCACTGAATCTTTTTAATGATATACTACGTCGTAATTCATATACTATCTTACTTGGTGATTTAAATTATTTGAATGGTTAAATGAAAATTATTTTCAATTTATTAATAATTTTGTTCCTACTTCAACAAGATCAAATGCAGTGATTGACCTCATATTAGCACCTATGAACATTTTTTTTGGTTCTTTTTCTGTACTTCCATCTATTAGAAGTGATCATTATCCTATCCTTTGGTCATCCCCATTCACAATACCATGGAAAGATCGTTTTCTTCCTATTAAACGTACTTATTGGACATTATATGAAGTCTTTATTACTTTTACATCTTCCTTTTGGGACAATTTATCTACAACTATATTCGACAAAGTGGAATTTTTTGGTCTTTATGAACGTTTTCTGTCCTTATCTTCTTGTTGATTAACCTACGTATCTTATTGCAAATCATACAAATCTTCGATATCACCTCAGATAGTTGATCTAATACAACACAAACGGCATTATCTACATCTGGTTAGAAGAACCAAGCATCCATATCATATTGTACAATTAAAGTTACTTTCGCAACAAATACAAAAAGGTATGATTCTACACCAAAGGAATATGTGGAGCAAATGTTGTAAATCTCTTAATTCATGTGATATTCGACAGTTTTGGCGAAAAGCTCGGCGACATTTCTTCTCTTATTGTCCACCAATTGAAGGTATTCTATACAATGGTGTAGTTATCACATCTCCAGTGGAAATCTATAATATAGCCAAGCAATTGTATACAGAACAATTTTCTGAGCATGAACATAATCAATCTGTGGTGGAAATCGAAGCTTATTTAATTGATCAAGAACTGGATAAAGAACTTAAAAATTCGAAATTATATTGTATTAGTATTAAATTCATTGATGTTAAAATAGCTGTTTTATTATTAAAGAACAAGAACTCCACAGGATTAGATGGTGTATCCAACAGAATTATTAAACTCCTACCTTCACTTCATCTGACATTTATTACTTCCGCTTTTAATTTTATGGCTCAAAAATGTATGTTTTTCTCGTCATTGGCTTGTTGTGAGAATGATACTGTTGTCCAAGACGAAAACGTCAGTAGTGGATATAAATAATACACGTCCAATTTCATTACTTTCATGTTTTTCGAAGTTGTTTGAGAAATTGTTTCTTATGCACTTTCGTCAATAGATTTGGGATAATGGTATTCTACCGGAAGAACAGACTGGTTTCAGGTCAGGACATAATATGTGTACCAGAATCGTGTCGATTGTTGATCAAATTGGACAAGGTCTTGCACTAAATACCACTACTGCTATGTTGTTCATCGGTTTCAAGTCTGCCTTTAATCAACTATGGATTAAAGCTCTTTGAATCAAACTTAAACGTCTCAACTGCCCTTTGTACATTATTGCGTGGTTAAGAAATTATTTAATAGGCCATTCAGCCTTTATAGAAATTAAAGGTATCAAGTCAAATCATTTGCCATTATTTAAAGGTGTTCCTCAGGGTTCTTGCGTAGGCCCAGTATTATTTATTGCTTTTCATTACGATATATTAAAAGCAGTATCAAATCTCCACTTTAAACATCCATTTGCCGATGATTTTGCTATTGTTCTATCACGATCAGCAACTTGGTCATCGCCATTACTCATTCCACATCTTTCACAACAAATTTCCAATGTAATAAAAGACTTGTACTCTTATGCAATCACATGGAAACAACCAATAAACTTTAAAAAAGACCTATATTCCTACTATTCCTGTTATTTATTGTGAAAATCATATCATCGAACAAGTTTCCAAATTTAAGTATTTTGGTGTCATTCTAGATGCTAGATTATCTTTCAATTTTTATCTCGATTACATCCAGTCAAAGATTAATAAAAAAATATTGTAGTTTACAAACATTTATCTAGCAGCCGTATGCTATCCCAGGTAATCTCGTATCGATTATATTACGCATATATTCGTTTATACTACCAATCTGTTTTAAATATTTACTCAATATTATCTCGTACAAAACAACCACAAATGGAAGCGTTAAGTCGCAGAATTTTGCGCACCATACATAGATGGCATGATGTTACGAACGATGAGATAATCAACCTTCCATCTTATAAATCTATAGAATTACTTACACAAATGCATTTCTCAAAACTATTGTCCACAATTATTCGTACTAATCCTTCAATCATTGCTGATTTTATTCAGCATAAACTATAACTGTTATTCTTAAGAGAATATTTCTTGAATCTTATTTTACTGAAGGAAAAGCAAGCAATTGTAACAAGAGGACGAACATCAAATCGTATACGACACTACTATCGTCTTGTAAACAATCTCTTTTTGACCAAGGTTTTTGTTTTACGTAAGAAAACCAAAAAATCAACATCGAGGAACTTTAAAGATATAGATGTGGAACCAATTTCTATTATGTTAAATATCCTATATATATTACTAATAAAACTTTTCTTATGAGTGACGACTCGAGGAGATCTAATAGTTGCCATGTTGTGTAAATTTTTATCTATAATTTGTATTCTCTTTTCACTTGAGTTTCTTTTACATATAGTGATACTGTATTCTTATTTGGTTGTGTTTTTGTAAGACTGCAGAGACAATGTTTGCCTAAGTCGTCCCCTCTCTACTCCTTATGATACCATTTTTTCTCCACTTCTTACGATAAATAAAAGTAATATACTACTACTACTGAATAATCTTCCACAAAAAATTACGAAGTAAAGTTTTGATTTTTATCAAACGTGATATTTTATGCGCGACTCATTAAAATATCCTCAAAAGATTTGATTCTATTGGTATTTTCGACCAATGTGCTAAATGAACTTGATTCGAATTTAGTTGATTCTTACTCTGAATTGATAAATATATGGTAAAGGCGTATATAGTATTTCGGATTAATTGTTTTAAATAGCATATAATGCAATCTTCAAGAGTTTACATAGTATTTAGATCGAAATTTGATTGGAACAGTTCTGCATTGTAACCGAATGAGTTTTTATGCAAAAGACATACAGAATCATGAGTAAAGGAACAGCGGCAAACATGTTAAAAGTCGCCCTAAAGTTGATTTAGTAGCTTGACAAGAACGATTTATTCTTGGGGTGTTTTATGCGACCACAGCGTGTTTCAGAGAAGTCTTTTAGAAAACAATGTGAGGATCAATTTATTAATGAACACTATTCTGTTTCGATATAAGTCGAGAAAAGAAAAATCTCATCGAGTATGTTTCACACGATTTGATAATGCAAATAACAACGATCAAAACAGTTTCCAGCGTTTCACAGTAAAGCTTGTTCACCCCTATTGTAGTCAACTGGGCTCAGTGCATATCTAGACTATAATACGATCTTTCATTCTCACCGACCTGAATTTTAGAGCTTAATATGCTCTAACAATGTCTCCTAGCTTTAAAGCAAACTTTAAAAATGGGGAAGATGCAAACAGAAATGAAAATTGTAAGCCGTCATTATTCATATTGCAGCTCGAGGTGAAAATATACCAAGAACACGAACCTATTTCTACACTGTCAAATGCGTATTTTTGACAAAATACACCTGAAAAGCTCATTGATTCTAATGTTAAATCATTCAAAGTTTAAGCAGCGCCTATAGTTATACATCCATACACTATGGTCAAGTTCAGCACCATCTAAAAAGCCAAGAATGGGTCCCATAGGAATTAACGATTTAGATTATGGAACGTTCCTCAACGATGCATTGAGAATGATGATATCAAATGTGAACGATTTCTAACAATATCGGTGTCTTTTATAGTTTTGGAAATGGGTCTTTCTTAAGTCAGAGTAAGTTTTCAACAGGCTCATCTCGTCCAGTAGCAATTATTACCGCCGATTTCAACAATGACTCACTACTTGATATTGCCACCGCCAATTATGGAACTCACAGTATTACAGTACTCTATAGAACTCACACTGGAAATTTTTCACTTCCAATTACGTATTCAACAGGTTATGATTCTCTTCCATCCTCAATAGCTGCTGGAGATTTCAATAACGACAACTACTTAGACCTTGCCATCGCTAATTATGGCACCAACAATGTTGGCATACTTTTTGGAAATAGCAACAGAACTTTTGAAAAACAAATCACGTTTTCAACCGGATTAGGTTCTCATCCATATTCAATCGCTGTTGGCCATTTCAATGACGACGGATTTGTCGACATAGCTATTGCTAATTTCGGAACTCATGAAGTATTTGTACTTTTGAACAACGGTAATAGAACTTTTGCTAATCAAGCCAATTATTTCATCAGTTCCGGTTCTCCATATGGAATCGGCGTTGTAGACATCAACGAAGATAATCGATTAGACATCGTCATAACCAACAACGGCAATAAAACTATAGGTATACTTCTTGGATATGGAAACGGTGATTTTGAAAATCCGATTCTGTATTCAACCGGCTCTTATTCTTCAGTTTCACTTGCAATAGGCGATCTGAACAGGGATCATCGATTAGATATTGTCGTTGTCAACGATGATACTGCTAGCATAAGTATTCTTCTTGGCCAATATGAACTCTTTTTAAACGAAAAAAGATATTCAGCTGGTAATTGTTCATCTTCTCCAGCTGTTGGAGACTTCAATAACGACGCTCGACTAGATATCGTCGTCGCCAATTCTGGTAGCAATGATGTGAGTATCCTTCTTGGAAATGGAAATGGTTCTTTTGAAAATCAAACAAGGTATTCAGTCGGCTCTCGTCCACTATCTGTAGTTGTTGGTGATTTCAACAACGACACTCGACTAGATATCATTGTTGCCAATGCAGATAGCAATGATGTGAGTGTCCTTCTTGGATATGGGAATGATTCTTTTGCAGAACAAACAAGGTATTCAGTTGGGAGAGAGCCAAGATCTGTAGCAGTTGGCGATTTCAACAACGATGCTCGACTAGATATCGTTGTTGCCAATTATTTCGGCTATGATTTGAGTGTCCTTCTTGGATATGGGAATGGTTCTTTTGCCAAAGAAAAACGATATTCGGCTGGCCCTTTTCAAACATTTGTCGCTGTTGGTGATTTCAATAGCGACAACCGACTAGATATCATTGTCGTCAATTACTATAACTATACGTTGACTGTTCTCCTTGGATATGAGAATGGTTCTTTTGCAAGCGAGACAAGCTATTCAGTTGGGAGATCGCCAATGTTTGTAGCTGTTGGTGATTTTAATAACGACAATCGACTAGATGTCGTTGTCGCCAATGCCGAAAGCGATGATGTGAGTGTCCTTCTTGGATATGGGAATGGTTCTTTTGCAAACGAGGCAAGATATTTGGTTGGCTCTGCTCCAATATCTCTCACTGTTGGTGATTTCAATAGCGATAATCAACTAGATATCATTGTCGTCAACGAGGGTAGCAATGCTGTGAGTTTCCTTGTTGGCTATGGGAATGGTTCTTTTGCAGAAGAAACAAGGTATTCAGTTGGCTTTAATCCAATATCTGTAGCTATTGGTGACTTCAACAACGACACTCGACTAGATATCGTTGTCACCAAGTGCACTGAAGATGTGACTCATGATGTGATTATCCTGCTGCAATATAACAGAGGAGGGATAGAATATAAAATGGCCTACGCATCTGGCGGTGGATCTAGCCTCAAATTTATAGTTGTTGGTGATTTGAATAATGACGCTTCTTTGGATATCGTCTTGGCTAATTACGGTACTGGTAATCTAGGTGTCCTGTTTGGATATGGAAATGGTAATTTCGAAGATCAAATGATACTTAGTAATGGCTTGAATCCTCATCCGACTTCGATTACTATTGGTGATTTTAATGGTGACAGTGTAGTCGATATTGCTTTTGCTGACTATGATGGAATGCATGTAGATATGCTGCTTGGAAACGGGAACAGATCATTTGAATCTCGAACAAGCAAAGGAATTAGTTTGGATTCACGTTTGTTAGCCATGGCTTCTGGTGATTTTAATAATGATAAACGATCGGATATAGTCATCATTTATGATGGAATGGATAAGGTGGATATCTTAGTTAGCTACAATTATTTTTTCTCAGCAGCAAAAAAATATTCAGTTGGCTATGATCATAGATCTATCGCTACTGGTGATTTCAATAGCGACAATCGACTAGATATCGTTCTCCCCAATAATTTCGAGAATTATGTGAGTGTCATTCTTGGATATGAGGACGGTTCTTTTACAAAAGAAAGAAGATATACAGTTGGGGAATGGCCACAGTCTGTAGCTGTTGGGGATTTTAATAACGACAATCGACTAGATATCGTTGTCGCTAATTCCGCAGGCGCTGATGTGAGTGTCCTTCTTGGATATGGGAATGGTTCTTTTGCAAAACAAACGAGCTATTCGGTTGGGAACTGGCCACTATGTGTAGCTGTTGGTGATTTCAATAACGACAACCGACCAGATATCGTTGTCGCCAATTCTGACAGTGATGATGTGAGTGTCCTTCTTGGATATGGGAATGGTTCTTTTGCGGACGAAAAAAGATATTTAGTTGGCTCTAATCCACAATCTGTAGCTGTTGGTGATTTCAACAACGACACGCGACTAGATATCGTTGTCGCCAATTGGGAAAGCGATAATGTGAGTGTCCTTCTTGGATATGGGAATGGTTCTTTTGTAAAACAAACAAGATATTCGGTTGGCTTTCATCCAACATCTGTCGCTGTTAGTGATGTCAATAACGATACTCGACTAGATATCATCGTCGTCAATTCGTATAGCAATGATTTGACTGTTCTGCTTGGATATAAGAACGATTCTTTTCTAAAAGAAACAATATCCTTAGTTGGCTCTTTTCCATTTAATGTAGCTGTTGGTGATATCAATAAAGACGCTCGACTAGATCTTGTTGTCGCCAATGCTCATAGCAGTGATGTGAGTGTCCTTCTTGGATATGGGAACGGTTCTTTTGGAGAAGAAACAAGATATTCGGTTGACTCTCAAGCATTCTTTGTCGCTGTTGGTGATTTTGATAATGATAATCGACCAGATCTCGTTGTCACTGGTTGGCATAGCACATATGTGAGTGTCCTTCTTGGCTACCACCGTACAGCTCTTGCAATACACAGAACACTCGTTACTGGAAATGGTTCCCGACCACAGTCGTTAGTAATTGACGATTTTAACAACGATAATCTTATGGATATCGCTATTGCTAGTACAGGCACCCACAATATCGGTATTTTTCTTGGATATGGTAATTTCTCTTTTACAAAGCAAGTAACATATTCAATTCAATCATCTTTATCGCCATGCTCTATAGCTGCGGGTGATTTCAACAATGATTTTCGACTAGATATCGCCCTTGTTAGTTGTGAATCGGATAAGGTTGGTGTTTTGCTTGGATATGGCAATGGTTCTTTTGGAAATGTAACGCCCTATTCAACAAGTTCGTACTCGTCCCGATATTCTTTAGCTGTTGATGATATTAACAACGATACTATACAAGACATCATCATCGTAAATCATGACGACAACAGTCTAGGTGTATTTCTTGGATACGGTAACGGCTCATTTGCAAGTATTATCCTATTTTCGTCGGAGTACGGATCCAATCCATTCGCCATTGTCGTTGGAGACTTCAACAATGACAGAAAACTAGATATTGCTGTTGCAAATAATGGAACTGACAGTTTGAATATTCTCTTGCAGACTTGTTAGGGTTTTATCTCTTACTTTATATTTTTCTATTAATCTCTTGTTTGTGATTTTTCTAGATTTAGATAGAAGCTTTATTTAACCGTTCAAATGTTTCTCAGTTCGAAAGATTCATGGAGAAAGAGAGTATATTTGGCAGGTGGATGTGGGTGTGAGATTTAGGTGAAGAAAAGAGAAACGCTCGCAGCTACATTTCAATAGATTTATACAGTCTGTGAAGATATTTTAGTTCTACAAAAATTCTTTCTGAAGTCTTCTCTGAAGTCCACAAATTCAAATATAAGATCAACGATAGTCGGAGAAAAACGTTTTTTTCTTGCATGCATAAGTTAATCGATAATATGTGTGTAGTACAAGGATGTGGGTATGTTGTAGCTACCACAATACCGTTGGTATTTCGATGTTGCAGACTCAATCTTATCATATAGTTGCGATGGGTAAGTCAAGTGGTGGATTCATTTGCAATGTTGAATGGATATGTTGATGTGTTAGAAAGGTTGTTTGTGGTCATGATCTGAAATGATAATAAATTAGGTTCATAATTAGAAATGTTGGATATTTGAGGTTTAGTGGTAAGGTAAGCATGTATTTAGATGAAATAAGGTGGGGGCATGAGGGAGGCCAGAATTTTGGGCCAAGGAATTTTCGGCCTGGAACTTCGGCCCGGGTCTAAATTCCGGCGGCGTTTCGGCCCAGGCCGAAATATCACCGGAAATCCGGCCCGGGACGAAATTCATCTCACTGCTGTTAATAAAAAATAGTCTAGCTTCAATGAATAGTTAGCACATTTCCATAGTGCTGAGCAGGACGACGTAGTGCTGAGCANAGCAATATATTGGAAGCGAAACATCTACAAATTAGCGTATAAGAAGGCTTTCCTATAATTAGAATTGAGGTAATTTTAATCATTGTACAAATATTCAATACATACATAATTCTATCCAAACGTCGTTTTTGTTCCCCATGGAAGCTTTGCTCTCACTGGATTAACTTTAACTCAGGAAAAAATTCTGAAGATATATTTAGAAAGAGCTTGAAATTCTCATTCTAGTTGATTACTTTTGAGTGTCTCATATCTACTTACAAATGTAAGGCACAGAGTTCTCGTTTTCCAAAAAAATTTATAAAGGTACCATATAAAATTTATTTCGATGCTATTATTGATTTTATTTTTCATCTGAACTAGATATTTGGCCGATGCCTTGTAACAATTGTTGTCTACATGTTTATATAGAAAGCATAGACTCATGTTACTTCAGCTGACCAAGAAACTTACCAACTTTGAGGCTACAAGGCAGAGAAACTCCATCTCTGTCAAATAAAATAGAGTATTCTAGCCTAGGTCTTCTCTTCTACTCGATTCTCTAGTATTTCACCAGAAACGTTGCTTTTTAAAAATTCCATAACAATTTCGATAGTTTTATCGATTTATGATGTGTGATTAATATCGCACTAAGATAAGTAACCAAATTATTCATGTCGTTCAAACCGATTGAAAACCGGTGGCTAGCCACGCATCTCGTACATCATTTTTTGAACTCTTACCAAATTGTTAGATTTTAGTCGAAATCATGTTTCCATCGTAATGTGAGCGCGTTGAAACCACTGGTATCGGTGACACTAGTTAAATTCGCTTACTTCTCGATTTTGATTTTCTAATTAAAGATAGCGTCAAAAAAGTAGCTCTTCGGTAGATCACGTAATCAATTCAAAATTTAAAATGATAATTCAGCAGTGAAACTTTAAAAAGAGTGATAGGAAAACGAGACAACTGTTCGAACTATCAGTTTTTTAAAGAACCCCAGTCAACTTGTCAGTTTAATGAAAACTATACGAGGTGGGAATAATAAGATCGAAATAACTTTAATATGATGTTTTTATGTACTTTTTATAAAACAATAGTTTTGTGCCTTATATTTGTAACCAGTTATATTTTACACCTATTAGAAACAAATTTTACATGAAATCAAACTTTAATGAAATATAGGATGAAACTATACAAAGCTCACGAAAATCGCTTCAATTGTTAAAAAAAATATCCAAGTTTCTTTTTCAATCGAGCTTTTGTGACGTCCTGTAGATTCGAAACAAATCATAAGAGAGAACCCTAGTCGGCGCTTTTATTTGAAATTCTTACATATCTACGTCGACACAGAAAATATTAGCAGTACACAACGTTTTTCCAAATAAATTAGTAAAGTCAAGTACTTGATCTTATAGAATAAGATAAACTATAGAGCACTTCCAGAATATTTTTCTATGATCCTAATTTGAGATCTACGGCTGATGAGAGAACTGACTTTCTCAACAGGTGTAATTCTGATATAGCATACAATAAAACCTTGAGTTTTTTTTCATTTTGGATAATAAAACTAAATCGAACAGAACTTATCTGGAGGCATATGCCTAGTACTCACCGTAAAGCAAAAAAAATTGGAAGCAGAAAGAGAGAAACTTCTATGATTTCATTTCACAAAAATGACGAAAAAAAACTGAACAAGAATTTTTCCAATAGTTAATTAAAGGCTAATTCTTTTTATCATAAAGCATAACAGTAGATTTAAATGATCGAATGCTATGCAAGCTATTTGAAAACTCTACAGAACCTCATAGAATACATGCATACATAAAAGCAGGATTCTTAAACAGCAAAAGAACTGCGTTTTCATTGCTGAGAATGAGCTGTTGTCGTCGATTTAATAAAAGCATAAGATTTTCTGAAGATGCAGCCAAACAGGAAGAAACTAACTGATATATTGTCAATCGAGGCTTTCTGGAAATACAGTTAAAGCAATACTTCGATATTATGCGAAAAGATCTATACAGAGAAGAGTAGTTTGCGAATCCAGAAAAACCTAATTGATGAGATCTTTTCAGATGCCATAATTTATGCTAGGAATGCAACGGTGACGATCAATGATCGCTCCACCGTCACCGTTTCACCTTCCGAAACGGTGAACGATCAAACCGATCAACCGGTGAAACAATCCCCGGTTATACCGATCAACCGGTGAAACGATCCCCGGTAAAACGATCAACCGGTGAACGATCCCCGGTTATACAGATCAACCGGTGAAACGATCCCCGGTAAAACGATCAACCGGTGAAACGATCCCCGGCTCCACCGATCAATCGGTGAAACGATCCGCGGCTACACCGATCTCCAGTTACACCGATCAACCGGTGCAACGAGACAGATGTAGGTGTAGCTGAACAGAGCATTCTTCCTCATGCACATCCTCTTTTTTTTCTTGTATCCTCTGATGTATCAACGTATGATGGATACAAATTACAAACTGTTCGAAAGTGGACAAATTTCACTACCAACAATGGTATGAGAATATTTGTATATCAAAAGTTCTTTCGATAATTGGATGCTTATAATATTCGTGAGTATCCGATTGAATACTATGCCAAAGAAGAAGTACGATCTATATCGCTGACTTAAACATGTTACTTTTTATACACTATTGGAAATGGTCGATGTTATCTGTATTTATTAACTAGTCCTTGCCAAGAAGCATGACATGGGCTACTTCTAGTTTTTGATTAATCAGCCATCGTTTAATCAGTCCAACCGGTGATCGTTTCATCGGGGATCGTTTCACCGGTTGATCGGTGTAGCCGGAGATCGTTTCACCGATTGATCGGTATAACCGGGGTTCGTTCACCGGTTGATCGGTATAACCGGGGATCGTTTCACCGGTTGATCGGTATAACCGGGGATCGTTTCACCGGTTGACCGGTTTAACCGGGGATCGTTTCACTGGTTGATCGTTTTACCGGGGATCGATTCACCGGTTGATTATTTCACCGCTCTTCGGTAACTACGATAGAACGATGAACGATTAATCGTCACCGTTGCACCCCTAATTTATGCTCTGTTTGTTCCTTGCAGGTAATACCGATTATAGTTCTCTGACGAGGGAACCACCCGAGGTGACACCCTCCGTTTTGACTCATTTATATTCCATTTGATAGAGTATATTGAGATAGTCAAAGGACTGAGAGGATTTTCCCCCATGGCTCTTCCTTCAAAAGTTATGGTCGTTTTATTGAATTTTCGACTCATTCCCGGATATTTACGAAAAAAATCAAAATAAGGAATTTCGACTTGATATTTCGCCCATANATCGAAACCGACTGCAGAGTTCTATATGCCACAAGATAGAGCGTTCGACGCTCTACAAAACCTACTAGATCACAATTCACCCAAATTCGGAAGGGGTTTTTAATTAGAAGATGATGTTTGCGTTGCAGTGAACTTTTTGTGACCGAATTAAAAATTTTTCTTGAAAAATGGAAACATTTTGAATCATATATGGTTCGATAGAGCTGATCACGGGCTATCAGATTATGTATAGAATGTTTCATTTTGTTCTTGAAGTTAAAGAGAAAATGTTCTCGCAAAAATGAGAACTTTTCACTTTAACTATGATTTTCTGGAATTTTTGAAAAATGTATTTTGCCTATTTCTACCCTAATCCATAATCAAACCCATAATGATTTATTACCAAAATGATCAGCTCATCGAGCTCTACAAACTCTGAAAATTTCAGCCAATTCTGAGAAAGTCATGTATAAAGTGTTACGTTTCCCATGGAATTAGTCTTTCCTTCAATAGTGGTTGCCACAAATCACGACGCAATCTTAACGAGTCATTACATCAGTTTTGTAACTACCTTTCATCTATGGTCGTTACCTGGTTTCCTAACTTCGTAACCTTCGGTGTGAGTGTGTAGCAACCAAGTAACAAGACAATGAGGTAAGGAAGTGATTGACGGCGTGGAAATCTCTTGTCACCACGCGTTGCATTTTCGTCGCCTTTTGTGGCAAACACTCCTTCTCTTTCATCGATACGTGACTGCCTTGTCCAAATTGCTCAGATTGATGAAATATAATGTTTCTTTAATTCTTTTTATGTGTAGTTTTATACTTACCTATTTCAAACAATTTTTTATCGTTGCCATGTAATGCTTTCTCTTTTTTTCTTCATGATTGTAATACATTCAGTCAGAATGTTTCTTTTGTTGTTGCGACATAATGTTTTTTTCTTCTTTTGTTGTGTGGTTGCGCGACAATCTAGTTCAAATGATTTTATAATGTCGTCGGCATTCATAAGAGTGGTAAAAGGATATGCTGGAAATTTAGATGACTGAGACACGATAAAGACGTGCAGCGGTAAGATACGTTGATGTGAGGAGTTTTTGTTGTGAAAGTGCAAAACTTTCTTTTGAGAAAGTAAATTGGAATCGATTTAAATTTTCTCTTCAAATGCTTTTTACCTACACATGTATATTGGTGTAACTGTAAGTGATATCTAGTCTGATAGTTATTTGAAGTTGTTAGATTACTTAGCTACTCCATTACGTGGTCGTTAATTTAGATGGACACTAGAAGATTCTAGAAGAATTTAAAATTAAAGTTTCTCCTATTTGTATTCACATCCAAATGAAATGGGTTGCTGGACGACATTATTTATAAGCTAAGGATGGCCTGTCAGTCAACAGCTCATTCGTAGTGTTTGACAAATTGCACTAGAATTGTGTAAATAGCTCTATATTAGTGTCCTACATAGATGCGACTTTTAGCATTCAGGTGCGAACCAATCTGACTATTTTGAATTTAGACCAGAACCTCATGTAATATAGATCTAGTAATTATGCTTACATTCTTATGTGTTTTTAAATTTCTTCTAATCTGAAAAGTATGAGATTCATTACACGAATAAGAAAGCAACAAAAATTGTCATTTAGAACTTCAAAAAGAACCTAGTAATTCACGATAAAATTGAGGTTTTATTTCGCAATAAAGTTTGAGCAATTTTACGACGCATATATTTGTATGTTATTGACGATGCAATAAGAGAGAATAGTGATGGGTGTGGATGTCAATATGTTTGCAAGGAAACAAAATATTACACCCACACCCTGCATCAAGAGATTATACAATATTGGTGAATAAAGAATAAAAAAAAGATAATCACGGAGCACGATGAAAGGTTCACTAATAAAACAACTGTAAAATTTATTTTAGTTAGATTTTATTCAAAATTACTTAGCGTTAGATGGAAGCCACATTTCCTCAGTGGCCCTGTGCTTCGGACTCACGCTCTGGGTTGAGTAATGGTGTATTTTGCTATTTTCTAACATGAAAGTTTGCAACAATAGTCTAAAGTAGACGTGTATTCGACCTTTCGAATGGTAGATTCTGCATTTCTAGGAACAGCCTTGGATAGATTTGATGTTCCCCTTGAATTTTCATACTCTCATTTCCTGTTGCAACGTCCATATGTAAGTTTTGTTAACTCCAGGTATTGTTTTGTGATTTTTGTTAATTTTACTTCATCATATTTTCCTTGACAGTCATATGGATGGTTAAAGATAATTAGCTGTCGAGACTGTTATGTAGATAAGATGGATGTATTTACATACGAATAGCAGATGATTAGACATTCAAGTAGTTAGCTATCCACATAGTTTGGTAGGCAGATAGTCAGTAGGTAAGAAGGTTGATGGCTAGGTCATAGGAAAAGTTTTTCCATTGTAGACTCAAATAAATTTCCCTCGGAATCATTACAACACTCGTGATAAAAATGTCAGTACGAATGTGCTAAGAACAGTGTAAGACTTCTATCGAAATTTAAAAATAATAACTGTTCTATGCATATCCGATAAATGTGAGCGAGATAGGTACTAGTCCATGATGAATTTTCTCCTGTCATTTGTTTTACAAAATAGTTCATTGCTTGTTGTATTCGAATCTGCGGTATGTATTCTAAAAAAGATCTAAATTTTCGCTATGATTCATAGACTAGCTTTAGAGTGAGCAAGAAGGACATGCAAAATGTCACTTTTGTTCATAAATATGGATGCGTTATACGGTTCTATACTAGTACCGTATTCCCTTGGTAGAGTTGCTTGCAAATCAATCGAACCAATAGTAGTAGGATGATATGTCTAAAGCTACCTAAATCCTTAAATCGAACTCTATATTTTAATAATACTCATCTATTTTACATGTATATGCTAATTCCTTTTTAGATTGTATTCCAGTTTGACTGTATCTTTGACCTGTTAATGAAATATCAGGAAAAAAATGCGACCGAAACGAAATCAGATATTTGAATATGAACAGTTTGAATCATATCAGTTTGATTTCAATATTCATGAAGCAAATGAAACTGATAATGAAATTGAGATTGATGTTGAAACGACATCATTACATGATGATTTACAACAACAGAACTTAACTCCAGATCAATTACAACATTTATTCTCTCAAGTTAGTTCTGAATTAATTGCAGAATCAGTAGATGATCAAAAGTTTTTTAAACGTGAAGTAACAATCAAACCACCAAAAGCAAGTAAAGTAATACAAACACCATTTCCACCACCTTTATCAGATCGTAAAGAAGATTTTGATATTAGTATTGAAGAATTGAAACAATTAGTTAAAAAAGAAGCAGGTCCACTAATTATTGAAAGACACTCTCCTAATACAGAAGAAATTGATCATGTATTATCAACTGTTTCATTGACATTTAGTCAGCCAATGATCGCTATTGTATCATTACATGAACAGATGAATCCAGAAGATCTAGGAATATCGTTAACACCAAAAATAGCAGGTCGATGGAGATGGATAGATACGAAAACAATTCAGTTTGAAGCAAACCATCGTGTACCATATGCAACAAAGTATACACTAAGAGTCAACAAAGAACTTTGCGTGTCAGCAGTCGGAGGTAAGTTCATTTAAAACCAAAGAAGTTACCATGCATATTCAATAGTAGATAACTACAATGAATGCAAAAAAATAGAAGATAAATGATGGTTTAGTGAATCACCTAATGAGAGTTCTCCTCTTTTCGAGAAAACCTTTTTCATTTGAACTAAACATACTGCAAGGTAATGAAGCTCTAAAATACAGAGATTGAACACCTCGAATATTTTACGCTCTTCTTCAAAAGCTTTTGAGTTTTTTCTTAAGCTTGGAAAAGCCCAAAGTTTTCTTTCCTTAAATCTAGCAGAAGTCTTGTCTGTAGAATGGAACAGAGGACCGAAATTTTACTCAAAACTAATTCAGAGTTTATCCTAGATTCTAATTCTTTTAAGTTTATTTGATTTCATGATTAGACATGCGACGATTCTTGGAAATAAAAGTCGTTGTTGGAAACCTCGCTATGGACAGCGTATCTTTCAAAGGAAGCCATAATAATCTGAGATCAAATTTGAAGTATCTGTGCCAATCAATAATACGGGATGAAAACTGGGGTTTTCCAGAAAAATCACATATGTATATCTCGAAAATTTCGCTACAAAGCATATTGATTTTCTTGTTCGAACATTTCTCTCTCAGAAGATACAAAGTTAGCTTTTAAAAGAGTATTCAAGAGCCGAATAAAATACTGTATTAAGTAACAGGATTCGTCTGAAGTTATTTCAGGCGCAACGAAAGCTAAAGGCAAATAACTTGAAAACTGAAACGCTTGAGAACAACTTTATACTCATACTTTTGCTTAAAGCTTTCGATTAAATTGAATATTAAATATGTACTTAAAAGAACAAACTTTAACAAGAATTAAAGGTAATGTCGATAATGATGAAATTAGAAACCTCTTTTTTTCCACAAATTTATCAAATAGCTGTTTGGATCTAGTTAAAAGAGTAGTGTAACATTAGCTTGAACTGCTTAAGTACCTAACATTCATCCAAACAGCATTTTAACATTGAAATACGAAATTTGATTTGCGTTTTTTTAACATGAAATATATAATACTCTCTGGCACAGTTAATATTTCTGTGAGTGTTGTTTTTTTCTTTGAAATGCATCAATGAAGGTCGGGAAAGGAGTTTTCTTTCACTTTAATATGACACAGTCATCTTGTAACTTATATTCTATGTTGGTTTTTTGACATTCCCACTATTTTGTAGGAAAGTTAGAAGATGAATTTTTATTCGAATTCTCAACAAAAACATTAAAAATTCTTCGATTCTTGCCACGTGGAACAGTTTCAACGTTAAAACCCAAATGTTTCCTTCTATTCAATCAAAAAATTAATACAAATGAAATTTTCCAGCATATTTGTGTAGTGCGTGATGGCAAACATAATATACAAACTGATGAATTAGAACTACTGGATGAAGAAACAGCAAAAACGGAATTTAAATCATTTATAAATGAAAATGAAAGAAATCATCAGGAATATATTGCATTTACATTTAAACATGATTTATTAAAGGCAACACAATATACAATTCAAGTGCCTAAAGATTGCCCATCAGCAGAGGGACCACTAAAGACAAAATTAGAATGGTCAGCTGACTTCCATACGTATGAACCTTTGAAAATAATTGATTGGCTCCCAAATATAAACAATAAGTATCAGGACACTGCTGTTCCTGGTCAAAACTGGTCGATCACATTCAATAATTCCTTAGATCATTCAACAATTAAAAAATCCATATTCAAGTTCGAGCCGGAACTCACTAGTATAGGTGAGCATAAATGAAACTCGTCTCATAACATGTAATCTTATTATTTTTTTTTATAACTGATATTCAATTATAAATAAAACCAATCTTAAAGAAAAGACTTATTTTAGGTATTGAACACAGAGAATACAATGATCGAAGAATAATAATACATAATAATTCTCAACCAAATACTGTCTATAGATTGTTTATACAACCAGGACTATTGAAAGATATTCATGGTCAAGTATTAGAACAAGATGATTCCGATCAACCCATTCAATTTCACGTAGATGATTTAAATTCACCATTATTTGGAGCTTTATCGGGTGAATCAGGTATAGTAAAGAAAAAAAAGATAAATATTGTCGAAAAGATAATTTTTGTTTCAGGTTTAATTACAATGGATCCTGGTCTATTAGATGAACCATACTATTCGTTTGTAGTTTTTAACTATTCAGAATTAATAATTCGTATTAACCGAGTGAAACCAGAACATTATCAGTCAAACCTACTATCACCGAGGGCAAGCTTTAACGAAGACGAAGAGAAAGGCGAAGAACAAGACTCTTGTAATAACTTACCTGGTGAAGAGTTGCTAAACGAAATTATACAAACAGAGTGTCAACGAAATGAACCAAAAGAGATAAGAATTCCCTTAAAGGAGTATTTCACAAAATCTTCTGGAGTAGGTCAATTATTTATATTAATCAAACCAACGAAAAAGGCATACCATGAATGCGAACGTCGCTATTGGAGAGATGATCGGAGTATATCAGTCTGGCTACAATGTACACGACTGGCAGTTGATGTATTTGCTTCCTCAAGTAATTTTATTTTAAAACAAAAGTAGCTAATTTGTTTTCGCTTCATACGATTGATTTCATTAGAAACAACAAAAATAACTTAAAATTGAGTAGAAATGACCAGACATTCAACTACTCTGGAACTTATTTAGAAAGCTTTTAAAATAAACTATTTGATGATTCTCGAAGTCTGTAGTATATATCACATCACTTAGAAACTAAATTAAGAGTTAGGTATAATTAAACATAAGGAGATTTAGTTTTCAATTATTTTTTAAGTAGTTAGATTCTAACTCTCAGTATTAATTAATTCAAAAAGCAACAGCAGCATTATATAAAATTATCCAATTAGACTATGTGTACAGCATAGATAGATGCGGTGATTTTTTTTTCTTAAATTTCTTCTTACCATTAAACAGTCTGAATATGAACATTTCGTTGTAAGAGAATATCTCCTAAAGAAATAACTTCATACGCATCATGAATATTCTTTCTTTATGTACTAAATTGATGAAGACATTGGAATTTTGGTCGATATATTTAATCGAAAATATGTCGAGTGAATAAGATTCTGATCTGAAAACTAGTCAAGATTAAATCTGAAATTATCTCTGAATACGGCAATTCTAAAATATTTTCCAAATTCTTCGATCACATTAGTTTCTTGGAAATTCTAATGAACATTGGTTGACTATCACCTAAATACTTCTTCTAATGATTACTTGCGTTCTGTTTCTGTTCGATGAGGAAACAGGAAAATTAGTGATCATCGTCAGTTCTAAGGTGAATGTTGATATGAGTACGGGTATATTCACTTTTCAATGACACCCATACTTCACGCCCTACCACAGGAATAATGCTAACAACTTTTGATTATAGATAAGGATGGCACAGTAACTGCATGGGTTACTAATTTAATGACTGGTGCACCTATCAGTCAAGCAACAGTTTCAATACTGAATCAGAAAAAAATAACAAATAAACAAGGATTATGTACAATTGAAAGGTGCATGGAAGAGAATAACGAAAGAAGGCAAGTGGAAAGCAGAGAGAAAGAAATATTAGTCGTAGAAAAAGATGATGATCTATGTATGGAAGTAAATATTTATCCTAATGAAACAGATGATGATGTTTACGTCTGGCATGTTTTTAATGATCGTGGTTTATATAGACCAAAGGAAGATTTGTATATAAAAGGTTATGTTCGATTACTAAAGCAAGAAGGTGAAGCAAAAGTACCAACTTATAGTCAAGGTGTAATCGACTACATGGTTTATGATTCTCAAGATCAACAACTTCAACAGTCAAAAGTGGAATTGAATAAATATGGGGCATTTGATGTCACATTCACATTAACTGAAAACGTTAACTTAGGTAAAGTTATATTTTCATATTTGTCGCTTACCCCTCGTGAGCCTTCATGCATCATACGCATCCAATATATGTTCACTTAAACGTATATATGTAAGCAAGATTAGTAACATATTCAAGAGAATCCGTCAGAACAATGTCAAATATTATATTTGGTATCCGGACGATTTGTTTTTTGAGCAACGAAAATTTCATTAGAACCTTTCTGATGCGAGTAAAATCTTTTCATTTAATTTTTCTTTACTGGTTTTAAAGGTTTAAGGAAATGCAAATCTGCTATGTTTATGATCAATGCCCGCCATTTTATACAGAATACTGAGCTGCATACTCTCTGATATTGTTTTGGCTAACGAGCAAATAGTTTAGTTATAGTTTTAGTCCAAATCTCGCGTGATAGATCTCTTTGTTAAAAGTGTAAAATATATTCAACGATGATTATAGACATGTCATTTTTGTATAGTTTGATGGGCCATTATCTGCACTTATAGTTTCATGCAAAAACAGTGATAAGTTTCATTTTGAGATGTTAATTAGTAATTGGTGAGGATAACGGATACTCACTTTGATAGTATATCCTTTTCGAGGATGATCATTTATATCTAAGGTTTTTCGAAAAGTCTTTGAAATCTTAAGCAAATATTTAAGACACAAGAAAATATTTTTAATTACTTAGTTTAGAATTTATACGCCGCCCTAATAGTTTCTTTAAAACTTCAGTCATTTTCAGATAAGAAAAAAACACTTTTCGCTTTTATCATATTACATTGCTGAAGATCTGCAAATATTTTGTTAACTATAGAATTTATGAATCGATAGGTCTTATGAAGAAATGATTTTATGATTATTTTTCAAGTGTTTTGAGAAGTCTTCATAACACTCTATGGAAATTCTAGAGAATCTTGTTAGTGAGAAACATACAATTAAACTCTAAAGTCAAGTTTGATTGCCGTTTTCATGCCTATATTCGGAAGTTTTTCTGATAACTCGATTGAAAAATATTTTTTCTACATAAATATTGTGTTTAAAATTTCTGAGATGTAGTATTGAAGTGAGGATTGTTGTTTAGTTGAAATCTTCCACTAATTAGATATTTGAACATGACATAATACCATCGATAACATTCAGATAAAAGTCATCTTAGAATATATTAACAATAAATTGAATTCTATCTATTCGTATAATGCGGCGTCGCTAATAATTATAGGAAAAACGTATTGATTCTTTTTTAAGATGATATTTAGATTTCATTAAAATCTAATCATTCAGATTCCTTAAATACAGCTATTCTGATATATTACATATTGTATTTTTTCCCTCAACTGTAGGGAGGGTCATATGAAAAAAAAAATGCGTTTGTGTGTGTGTGGTCTTGTGACAAGGTCAAAAAAACATCAGAGGAGAAGTTTATTAATGTTTTACATAAAACTTGACCAAAAGGTAATTGAGGGTGGGGAATCCGAATCTGAAGTCGGTTTGTCGCAATTTTGAATTGAGTTTTTGGGTCAAAGGAAGGTTTTTTTGAGAAAATAACGATATCTTATAAAGGTTGACGAAAGTAAATCGAGGTCGGAGAATCCGTATCTGAAATCAGCTGTTCAAAAACTCAAATATTTATTTGCATGAAAAAATTATACCTTTCTCTCGGAACTATTGTCTAGGGTAAAAGAGAATTTTTTCGAGAAAAAGGCATTTGAAAAAAAGGGAAATTCGAATTATGGAAAATCGTTCTGCTTATTTGGAGTCTGTGTTTGCTGTTTAGTTGCGGTAGTCTCTTCACAGTATCGTTGTAGACATGAATCTGAGGGTGACCTAATGGGTTGAGTGTTTCAGTAAGTCGTAGAGTGATGAAACAGTGTTTACACACCACTGGCACTCAGTCTAATGTGTGCGACATTGAGTGATTCCTGTTTATTCATAATGGCTTGTGAGTTAAATAGCTTCTTTTGAGTGTACTCTGCTTAAGTCGAGACAAGTAGCATTAAAAGAATCTTGTAAACGAAGTTACAGCCTGTAGAATAATTACAGAAAAATCAATGATTGTTTTAATGTATTTCAATAATACAACAAGGGATTATGAGCAAGGTCTGAAAGAAATGTTGGCGAACTACTGGTCGCTAAAATTGCGAACGTATTCTAATGTTGTTTAGCAAAAGATCTACGGGAAACCTGTATTTATCAAGATTAACCAACTGAAATTCTCCAAATCAAAAGCCCTAATAGAATGCTATCGTATTGACTAAACCATTGAGTTAAAGAAATTAGGAATAAATCATAGGTAAGTGTTGGTTGAGAGTAACTCATCTGGAGCGATGGTGTTATAAATCTAATATTCCAAGTAAGAGCAATGTGGCATTTAATAAGGTTTAAGCGAAAAGAACTATCTCATGGAAGAAGAAGATCAGAGGTTGCAGTAGCTAGCCGCGAGTGGCGCCCCTAGCTGGTGCACTCGACAGTTGCTTTTTGAAGGGCGTTAAATTAAAAAGATTTAACAAGAGAATGTGAAGGGGTTAGGTCTGATGAGTTTCAAAAGGACTCAAAGTGATAGGATATTAGAGATATTTTGGTATGGATTATAAGACTAGTTTTTCTCGAAGAATAGATTGTAGTGACACTGCGTGGATGGAAAACATCATGAAAGCAATTAAATTCGCTCCATCGAAAACGAACTTATATGGAAAAGAATCAGTTTTTCGGTTCGTATATTTTTTTGTGGATTTAGAATGTGCATTTATTGAGGTAGATGATCAGTTAAAACAGCGTATATCGTTTTCGATTTTGCATAAATGTATGAAAAAGAAGAGAATAATTGGTAAGTGTGTGATTGTTTTTGTCTTAGAAAAATATTTATCAATTAGTTGAGTTATTCGTAGTTACTATCGAATGGCTTTTGGCTATTTATCAATTAAATGTACGCCATAAGAGTGAATACGCTATTGGATTTGGTCGTGTTTGATACTTATAAGAAAGGTTCTTTCGTGTTTTTAAATCTATCATCTGAGGAAATATATAAATGGATAGGCGTGGGTCTAGAATTGAGACCTGGCATTAATTTGTCATATGCTATAATTACTATTATGAAAAGTGATACTTTTAAGCTGGTATGTTTTCGGGAATTCTTATATGTGCAATGTCTAGCTACTGTTATTCGAAGAAAATAGTTCTGAAAAGGCATATGTGAATGATGTCGTAGCTTTTGTATTGCATGGACAGTAAGAGCCTGTCGTTCAAGTGAACTTATGTAAAAGGAGGACTTAGCCGTGACTGGTGTCCCAAAGTGACGCCAATGAACTGTTAATCGTTAACATTGCAAGCATACTACAGACTGATCTCACTAAAGATCTTTGTATCGGTTAGACATTTTGAAGAATAGTGCACTAAGACTTAACCTCAAAGAAAATTCTGGTTTTGCAGTTCTACAATCAAATTGCGGAAATGAGAAATAATTCATGAGAAAACTTCTGTTTGAAAATTCCTGTCGATAATTCTAACGCTTTAGATCTAACGAAGTTTTGAAATAGTAAATCCTGGACCAGGCGAATTTAAAATACAGAAGGATAGTCTTATGGAAAGATGGGATTAGACCTGGCAGCAGCCAGCCGCGAGTGGCGCCCCAGAGGGGTGCCGACGAGTGACTAGCTGCTGCACTGGGTTATCTCCAGAAGTGCCGCTTTGAAGTGTTGGAATTCATTGAATAAAAGTCAATAGTCGAAGTCAAATGGGTCTGAATAACGAATATTAGATACAAAAAGTTGAAAAAACTATGTCAAGTCAAAGATGAGAACCGGTTTTTATGTTTGGACAAAATAACTGAATAGTTCGTCAGAATAAAGGCATTACTGAAAGAATTTATAGTAGCTGCATCGGTAGTGGGCATGAATGAAATAAAAGAGTGTTTATTTTGGTATATGCTTTTCTTTGTATTAATTCAAGTATCTGAATGTATATTGATATATTCAAATTACCTGTCTAGTCTTATCACTACTTTGAATAAGAGCTTGTTTTATGTATGATATTTCGATTAGAGATCAGATATAATATGATTTATTTTAAGCTAGGGGTTCCACTGAGCTTCTACTTTCTTAGAGAACTCTATAGTAAGCAGCACTATCAAGGAATGTTCTAGAATGTATGCATATTTCTAGTAGAATTTTCAAAAAGTACTCTGCATTTTCGTATAATTTTTGTGAACTTCTATTGCTGCATGTTCTCTGAAAAATTGAATACGATATCTTGTTCAGTCGAGGGCTAAGCGAGTCGAAGCGATGAGCGTTACTTGTATCTTTACTTACTAGAATGTGTGTGCAAATTGCAATGAGTAGGGAAACTAGCTGCATTTTTTTATTTATGTTGGTCATTAGCTTCAGCAATTATCAAGAGCACATAGTTGTGATCAATTTTTTGTTTTCAAAATTTACCAAGCAAGCTTGTCTAGTTGCATAAATGCTCACAGCCAATTCCTTGATCCTATCTTAGTCTGGTTTTGTTATATACAAGTGAAATCTATGCTTGATAATACTGATATTTCACTTTTAATTACGAAATATCTGTGATATACTCAATCTACTTAAACCACCGTACACACTATTATAATTGCGTACAAGTCTGTAAGCAGACATCTGACATATTTTACGAGTTTTGTCATTACATAGGTTACGTTATTTAACAGAATTATGACACGTCTGCAGCGAAAGAAATTAATTCATCCATACATCCAATGCACATTGGAAACATCTAAATAAGAATCACTCATGTCTAATATCGCTTCATCATCGTTGAAAATACCGTACTAATTGTAGTCTCTCACAAATTAAAAATGATTATTTCTGTAATCAGTTTTTTCTGCGCATAGTTTCTTAAAAGGTTACTGTTGCGAAAGTCTGTACATTTAAAGCTGAATTGATTGATTTTGAATTTTTACTATTATTAGGTGATGGATACGTAGAGTTCAGTTTACCAGATTCAAAAAATGGTACAAAACATTATTTTAATGTTCAAGAGTTCAGAAAACCAGAATATCAAGTTTCATCAATGATTCGACCAACAATCGCACATTTTCGTTATCCAACCGTTGATGAATACGTCATAGTTACTTGTCAAGGAAAATTATTTTCTGGTGGTTACTTAAGTTATGCAAATGTTAAATGGACAGTACAAGCTGAAACAACAACATTTATACCAGCTAAAAGATTTGACTATATATTTGGCAGAGGACAATCATTCTTCTCCTGGTTTGATGATGATGATGAAACCAAAATATCATATCCAACAAAGCATCTTCAAGTAACATAATTTGAATTCAAGCATAAAAGAGCAGGTCGCATTTTGAAAGAACCATTTCGAATTACATTAAAAATAATATGTATACTCTATGGTTGGATATGGTGGATTGTTAGTGGTTCACTGACAAGCCCAACATTTCTTGAAAACTGCAGATAGAAGTAGACATACAACAGTTTCAACATTTTTCTTAAGTGTGACGAATATTGATAGAAGGGTGGTTAGTGTGGATGGTGATACACTTTATTCTATCCCTTCGTATCATACAATCGTATCGTTTACATATAAAGCACACGTTTATATATATGAGTAGAGCAAGCTATGATGAAAAGAAAGAAGATGAGGTCAAGGAGAGAACAATGTAAGAATAAAAAGGTGGTGAGGCCAAGGAGAGAACACATATAGAAGAACAATAGAGTAAGAACATAGCGTAAGAATAGATAGGTGAGAACAATACATATAATATACGAGTGAGTGACGATATAGAATGAGAAGAAGGTTCAATCATGCATAGATGAACGTAACAGTAACGCGATTATGAACACTACGTATCATTGATTGTATAGCAAGACACTGAGAAAGAAAAGATATCACATGAGATAAGATGCCTATTGGCACATATCCTCCTCAATTGAGACGCGCTCCTGAGCGTCTGCAAGATTTGAGTTGGTAGTCAGAAACAAAAAACGCCGAAAAGTGAGACACGTTTAACACGAGTATACAAAAATTTAAATTGTTGTACTTACTCTTGATTGAGTTAAGTACGAGACGGCAGAGAAAAATGAAACTGTTATACTCATTCTACATTGAGTTGAGTACAAGACAGCATATAAAAAAAATGAACTTGTTGTACTCACTCTTCATTGAGTGGAGCAACAGACAAGGAATAGAAAATAGGAAAAAAAGCTAGCGCAAGAAATGGAAATTTAAATAATACTCGAATTAATCTTTTCATGCAATCTTATATCTTCACCAATGTTTCATCAAAGCAAACATTCGATACAAGGAAATGTTAGTTCATGTTGCATTGGACACGAAAAGAATAACGTCACCTTTCTCAGTTGCTTTCGTGATATTCAGATATCGTTCGCTTTGCTTCGCTGCCGTTCTGGTTCTCAATTTGCTCTCTTCGCGTATGATCTTCATTTGTGGATAGTATTTCAGTATCATTGACATCAAGTTGTCATAATAAAAGCGGGAAATAATTTGATTGAGTTGAAGAAAATTGAAAATATTTAAGGTGAGGAGACATGAAACGTACCGATGTTCAAAAGGAAAAGTGCGCTGATCCTCGCACTATCAGCCCCGAATAGCTGTCCTTAGGTACGCCCACTGATGTTTCGTGATATTGTGGCACTCCAATACCATGTCTTTCAGCTTGCATCTTCCTCAACCATCTCGTAACCGACTCATGGATTCTTATTTTTCGCCACTAATATTTTGATTCATCAGGCTGTCATCGATGGTGTGGAGTTCATCGTAATTCGTCATCATCCCTCAAAACTCATCAAGATGGAACATAATTCACCATATTTTTCTTCATATTGTTTCATCGTTCATAATAAATTACAATAACTCATATTGCTTCACCAAAATTCATAATGATGCACATCGCTTCATAAAATCTCACATTGCTTCATAAAAATAGTAATTGACCTCTGTTCACAAATTCATATTAATATCAATTTTTCCATAATAATTTATATCGCTTTAT